ATTCGTTTTAGCGAAAAAAAAATTTGGGGGGTTACGTGCACTTTAACCGATCTCTTTTGATGTCTTTTGTTAGGTGTCCTTATTATTTTTTTTTCTAAAAGATCAAAAATTATCGGATTGGAAGAAGCTTATGTATGGCAATTCGTTTTCTTTGGGCATCCTTTCTTTTTTGGCGTGTGCTACGAAGGTTCTTTCCGTCGGATCATGATAAAATATCTAAGATAGTATGCGCATTCTCATTGCTCGATAGGTGTGTTAAGATGAGATGCTTAGATGTTTATATGTTAACCAGGTTGTGATAACAAATATTTTATAAAAGCAATGAAGGACTTTTTTCCGTGTTTACCTAGTCTCATCTAAACACGAGAGGGGTTGGGAGGATTCTTGAAAGTTATGCGCTTGACCGTGTCTCGGGTTTCATAATTGTCTCCAATTCTCCCAACCCCTCTCGGGTTTAGATCTCTGGCTATTGTTATGGTTTGAATTTTTTAAGACAATGGACCTGTTGTTGAGCGGCCTAGGGGATGCTTCTATCCGCTATGGCGAAATTGCACTGGACTTAAATCGGATTCCATCGGGCAACTGTCGGTGATCACATTTTTTTCTCTACAGTACTCTACTTGGGAAAACATGGACAGTCCAGCTGGGGTCTAGTCAGTAATTGTCAAGGGAAACAGTATTGTCGTTTGCTGCATTTAAGTCGCGTGGACGAGTTTCTGTTTTTGGTTTATATAAGCAATGTAAACACGAAAAAATCCTATTTCGCCTAACTTAAGTCGTCAACCTAAGCGGGATGCCGTAAAATCATGGACAATTAGTTAGTGCTTGCCACAAGTTGCTCGGCAACTTTTTTGGCAACTTTTTGCATTTCGAGCAACATTTTTTGTTTCGAGCAAGTTTTTGCATTCTGAGCAATTTCTAGTTTTCTAGATATCGGAGCAGCTTTTAGTGCTTTAATTGGCCATGCTTCCATATTTACAATGTTTCAGTAGACAATTTGTGAATTTCCTGTGAAAAAGGAGCAGTTCCTTCCCCCTGGGGCAGATCAAGGGGGAAAGATGTATGCAGCCAGGCCGCTGGGTCAGCGGTTTTTTTAAGAAAATACAAAATAGCGGACAAAGATTCACACTCCACTGATTCGATTGTTTCAGGTGATAGCATTTATTTGAGAGCCACTAAATAGGTTATCTGTTGATAAGTTTGATACAATATTGTTTACATATAGATAGATAAATGTTGAGTTTTTGTCGTCAGTCACTAAGTCAGTCCCTTCAAAGTGATGTGTATTTCTATGTACTGTAGTCTGGTGCAACATAAGTCTGTTTAAATTAAGGTCAAGGACTCAAGGTTACATGTTTTAGGCAACTGTGATTGCAGTTAAATTGCATGAAAATGGTTAGAAGTCTTGACCTTGAAAAGCAACGACAATTTTACTGGCTCATAATAGAATTTTTACAAGAATAATATTGTTCTATTGATATTGATGCGTACTATTTATTCATGCTTATTGTGAACAGATTTATTTAGCGACGCTGGTTACAACGCAAAATTGCACAAAAATGCTTAGAAATGTTACTTTTGTTGTACGGATTGCATATTTTTGCATCAGACCAAATAAAAGAAGAGAGAAACGAAAAAAAGTTTTTTTGCTTTTTTTAGCAACTTTTGAGCAACTTTCGTTACAAAAAGCAACTTTTGACTATTTTTGGAGGAACTTTTGCGCAACTTTTTGAGAAATTTCGGGCAACGTTTTGGAAAATCTCGAGGAACTTGCGGCAAGTCCTAAATATAGTCCAAGAGTTTAAAAAGTATCACAACAGTTGCAACCTTGAATCCGCCTATTCCCCCAATTGAGTACTACAGTTCGCCTTTCCGGATTGTTTTCGCCAGGCCAGGAAGAAACTCTTCCCAAAAGACAACGCGATCCACCTCAAGTTTGCTTTCCACTCTAAGCAGATTGTCCAGGTCAATAAGTAAGTATCAGTTTCATCGTCGGTCGTGAAGACAGGCTAGCTAATGTCAGGATCGCTTTTAACCAGATTTCTGTCGAAAGAGAAAACCAATGTTATACATTTATAACATAGTAAGCAGTCATTGGACGAGGTTGAGCAGCATATCGTGATTTTCCAGCGGTGGGAAGCTATTAGACAACTCAAGTAATGACGAAGGCACTGCCTTGGGCGACGCCTGGTAAAAATGAATTGAAAATTTACCTTTCCTTCAGTACGTATATGATGCTAAATATTTAATGAAAGCGTAAACGTTTTAGGTACCCGAAATTGGCAACACACTAACTTCGATCTCAGGGTTTCTCTTCTTCCGCCGTCTGGAGCGCTAGAGGGGCGGGAGGAAGAGAACGAGGTTGGCAACACACCAGGAGAAGCGTTAGTGAAGTAAGGCTACTAAATACTACAGATGCGAGAGTCGTTATATTGGAAACTTAACACTCAACCATGCTGCACAAATTAAGCCCAAAGGGTTGCCATTAACGTTGAAAGGCCTCGCTGCACACCATTGTACGATGACGCCATCTTGAGAGTCCCTTCTAGATTGCTCACGGCCATGAAATTATATAAGGGATCTCCTCTCCATGAACGACCCCAAGGATTTCTGGGTATAAAGTCAACTCCGTTCGATAGCTAAACTGGTGCAGACGCACAGGACTACCACCTCTCACGAGGGCTTTGGCCATATGTACTGCCGGGGCATTGAACCATGAGTCTGTCACAAGATCAAGCCACTGCTTTTCGATGCTGCGAGTGGAATCTGGTACCGGGTGGTTGGTGTACTGGTACAAAATGGCCCCTTTCATGGGATCAGATTCTTCGTTGGATGAAAACCTCGCATTCTTTACCAAACTACTGAAAAGCTCGGAAGAAACTTCCTGGCCAAGAGTTCTGGCTATTTCAGAAAGAGGAACGATGCCGCCATCGTTTTTGTTTACTCCAAGCAAGACTGGCACTTTGTTGACGAATCCCTGATTAAGTAGTTTAGTTGGTTCGTCAGTTAAGAATTCCCCATCAACCGTAACCACGGGCTACTGATGACCGAGGTCTACCACACTGCGAGGTAGTTCAGAAGCTTTCAGAAAATCCTCAATGTTTTTCTCTCTTAAACAGCCAAGCGACATTGCATTGTCATCGCAGCCCAGACGTTTGGTGATGTCTCTTCCATAATCCGGATCTTTTGAAGACTAGAACGTGTAGGGTGTGGTTGCAGCTCCACTTTGCAAAATGGCTTTGTGAAATACACCAGTAGACAGCGGAGAGAGCATTTGATTGGCTGGAAATCCCGCCAAAACTCGCGATGTTCTCTTGAACCCATTTCAGGGCAGCCACCTGAAACTCTCTTTATTGTCTACTCCTATTTTTTTGTATACACACACACACGAAATATTTTAGCTTTGGCGTCTTACATTTTGCAAGTTTAAAAGAAATGATGCGTGCGACTTGTGCTGCGACGTATTTTTCATTAAAAAAGCAAAACAAACATCGTCTGCAGTCTATTGGAAACCACAAAATGGCAGCTGTCAATTAAAGGGGTACATGTGGATAGGGAGCCCACGGTTAGAGAATTATCTGGCAATGTTGCTGTCGGTTCTTAAAGAATTTACGACAAATATTTACAGAAGGTACTGCTAAAAGCGCAGTTTCAAAGTTGAGAAAAGCTTTAGTTTTTTTCTTATAACAAAGGGCCAAGGATTTACACTTTCCAGATACCTAATGAAAATTCTTAATGTTATTACTAATGTTTTATGCAAGAGAAGCTAGTGTAACATCTCTTGGCTCATCTGAAGGCATGCTCTACACCTTTAATGATTACTCACGCAAAGGGCGAAAGGCTACCACGAATTAACAATTGCATTTGCGCGAGCAACAACCAAACAAACTCTTGAGGCCTTCACGGTAATTGCCGCTGAATATAAAACAGATACAGGGGTTTATGGCGCAATTTGCATAAGCCATAAATTTGGCAAAAAATCTAAAGTGCAGAAACCCACAGCTTAGTTTAGGGTTTTCCTCCCATACAAAGTACTGCAAAAACGCCAAGATATTCAAGGGTGCCCAGCATAATGCAAATCCCAAAACAATAGCCAGAACCATCTTAATCACGCTCCTGTCTCTCTTCATTCGTTTTTCCCGTTCCTTAGAGCTCACCGATTCGCCACCTGGTATCTTTTGAGCCCTCAGCTTTACAATGATGATAGAATAAAGTATTGTTATCAACGCGAAAGGGATAAGAGCGAAAACAAGGAACAGTGCTACATAGTAGCTTTCCAATGAAGAAGACTCTCCAAAGGTTTCCTTCCACATCAGCTGACATGCAAGGTTTTCTCCGGATCCCTCAAGTTTGCGGACGAAAAATTCCGGGGAGAGAATGGCCATGGCCACGATCCACGTCGCTAGAATGAAGAATGGGCAAAGTCTGGCGCTGACAATCGGGGGTCGAAGAGGAAAAACCACAGCTCCAAATCGATCCACTGCTATCAAGACAAGGCTCTGGATAGAAACAGCAATGGAGACGTCTTGCATAAAGTAGTCCAGTTTACACAACGCCAAGCCAAAGTCGCCAGCTATGAGCCAGTAACCGACGTAACTCTCTGTAAGAATACGCGGAAAGGCAAACACTGGGAGAATGAGGTCGGACATGGCCATGTTTAAGATTAGGTAGTTGATCGTTCTTCTCATGGATTTTATTTCTTCTACATTTATTTACCTATCGACAGTTTATAAAAACGAGCAGTTTCTCACTGGATTTAATCAATTTTTAAAACCTAAAATGCTGCTTCTGTTATTGAGCTAAAAAGGACTAAAAACCCGTTAGAAAAAAAAAAAATTAAACACCCACGGCACCAAGTGTATTTTTGTGTAATTAATGAAAAGTCCATCAAACCGTCTGTGAAGATAATATTAGGAAGAGTTTTAACCCACCCGACTGGTCGAGCGGAAGACAAATAAATATTAACAAACCAGCAATGAAAAAGAAAAAAAAGGCAATTGCGTCCTGTTGACTTTGTGAAAAACATCTAAAAGGGACGGTCCTTTGTGTCTCTCAACTAGGTTCCACAAAACCCAACACGTTATCACAAGCGATTCTTATTAGTCTTATAAGTAAAGGTTTCTTAAAACTTTTAACGATGAAAATCAACGGTAAAACACGACGTTTGGACCGTACTTCGGTCATTATCAAGTGAATAGTGAAATTAACAGTGAATATATATGTATGCAGGTGAGAAGTATAAAAGGATTTACAGGTGTAAACGGACAATAAAAACATGCAAAGAAAAAAAACTAATGAAAAGCTAATTAAAGACCTTAGCACGAATTGAGTCAGATTGTACATTGAGAGTAGGTCTCAGCTCGTGAATAAAAAAACATCTCATAGACGAGGCAGTCAAATTTGTTCGTGCACTTCATTAAAACGCTAAAATTATTTGTAAGATCTTTTGGAGCCAAAGAATGTTTGTTGCGAAAATGCTTGCCAATTGATGAAGAAGAGTTTTTGTGTTCTTCAACACGTTGGTGCAGATGATAGACTGCAAAACAGTCGTTTTCTGACGTTTTTGGAAGGCGTAAAGCGCCGTAAGCGCTAAGCGCGCGAACCTCACACGCCCGTAGGGCGTTTGAGGCGAGAAAACGAATTTAACATATGCATGGCGGACAGTCGTATTTTTTAGCGTCTCTCCCCATTTTTCCTCGCCGTTTTTACACTCGCTCCAGACCTTTCGTTAGAATATTGACCGTCTTTCGCGTTCGCAAAAAATACGACTGTTTTGCAGCTATGCAGATGGTAGCGTGTGAAACCAGCATATCTGCATCGCACAGGTCGCATTCAAATTTGTAAACAAGACACTGTTGGTTCACAATCGGCGGCTTAGCTTCTCACAATTTGAGATCTCGTCCAATCTTCAGGCTGACAAATACAGGCTGTACGGTCGTCTGGATCTTCTGACTTAAATCTTTAAATTTGGCACGTACAATATCAGCTGAGGCCTGAACTTTAAACGGTAGGACAACACGGATGGGGTCTGATCGATCGCTGACAGCAGGTGAGCAAAGAAGTTGATGCGATGCTTTGGCGGCAACAAACCGTGAAATTGTAGAGTTGACAAGATTGTCAGGATATTTTAGTCAAGAAAACAATAATTTCAGTCGATCACATTCTTCAGAGAAGTGACACCAATTGGATGAAAGTCGAAATGCACGATCAAGCATAGTTTTTAATATCCCACGTTTGTATCGGTCATCTACATGGCACTTGTACTATAGGAGAAGGCCAGTATTTGTGGGTTTAACATACGTTTACACCTGCAAATCTCTTTATAATTCGTACTAGCATATATATATAATCACTGTTCAATTCACTTGATAATGACCGAAGTACGGTCGAAACTTCGTGTTTTACCGCTGATTCTTATTAGTTAGGTAAAAATGGTGACATTAACACTCTGTCCTTGAGCTGTGTTTCAACTTCCTCGGCTGTTTTTCTTTCTCTGTTTTCCTCACAGGAAGGCATTTTTTCTGTTGTTTTCAAAACTTTGAGGTAAAACATTTTCAGGACATCCTAAGTTCTAACATAAATGGCATTTCTTACCTTGTTCTTGCTCAGGTCTTTTCTCATATTGCCTCATAAATTTAAAACTGGTATGTTGACACAAGCTAAAACGCAGAGGCTTCCAACCGGTCGCTATTTATCCCTCCGATTTGCTTAAGCGAATTGTCTTCTCGAACTTCCATGATTTGCCTGGTGTTTTCGAATTGATAAAAATGTTGTTTTGGATATGGAAAAAAGGTCAGCTAAAATTTTCGGAAAGGCAGCAGCTGCTATAGTTTTCGGGAAATGCGGAAAAAAACCGAATAAATTTCGAGAAAACTCAAGTTCCGCTAGAAGACCTAGAATTGTGAAACAGATTAAAATTTTATAGCGTAGCCTAAACAGAATCTACACAGCTCTAAAAGCATTTCAGATAGCCTAAAAAAGTACTTAAAAGCATTTGACAGAAAACCGTCATTGAGTGGTCCTGAACGCTGGTTTCAAGTTTATCGACATATGTCAACCACGTTGAGCTGAGAGGACGTGCACGAGGCTATATTGAGAACAGGTTATCGAGAGCAATATCAGATTAGCACCTATGTTTTAAAACAGCAGTGATCCGAGTGATCAGTAATGTAAGACGGTAGACTGTCGAGCGAAAATAACAGTGATTGAATAAATTTTAATCTAAAGTTTATTTGTTCAATCAATGAAGTTGATCAAAGAGTTTCCTGGTTTATCTTCATAAGCTGCGAAGAACTGATCTTCCGCTTCATTGCAACTNAAGGTCATCGACATATGTGAACCACGTTCAGCTGAGAGGACGTTCAAGAGGCTATATTGAGAAAAGGTGATCGAGAGCAATATCAAATTAGCACCTATGTTTTAAAATAGCAGTGATCGGAGTGATCAGTGATGTAAGACGGTAGACTGTCGACCAATAATAACGGTGATTGAATAAATTTTAATCTTAAGTCTATTTGTTCAATCAATGAAGTTGATCAAAGAGTTTCCTGGTTTATCTTCATAAGCTGCGAAGAACTGATCTTCCGCTTCATTGCAACTGAAATCTGTCGATTGGAAGAGCTGAATTAGGCCAACGCCAGTGACAAGATTTCAGGTAATAACAGAATTTGAACCCATAATATTTTACTGAACTCGATAAATTTGACCTCTTTTTTTTTTTTTTGCAGTTCTGTTATAATAGCAATCTGATTAGGAGTAAAAGTAGATTTAACGAGATCAGTGAAAGGAGTTACATCACGATTTGCGCAACATGAAAAGTTTAGCCTAAATCTTTCAAGTTCGTCGTTTAAGATCCGTGCCAATCTCCTCCATCCTCAACTATCCTTGTTCCCGCTTCATGGTTTACGATATCTCTTTAGTGTTTTTGTATCATAGAAAACCAATATTTTCGAGTTTGCTTTAATTTAATGGTAATTTTGTACGTGGCTAAAATAACTAAAAATACCGTGACCGAGCTCCTTTAAGCAACAGTAAAGTTGGAGATGAAGGAGCTTTCTCTGCTACACATGAAACTGTAGAGCCATTTTTCATGAAAACTCGGACGTCCGTTTCCTGGTGTTTCCCAGGAACCAAACTTCATATATTAAATATTAAATATTAAAAATAAATCCTCGAAATCTGTTTGTTTACATAAGGTCTCCGCCAAGAAGCACCCTTAGTCAAGAAGAAAGCAAAGCCCAAAACAGCTTGACTGCCTTGCATTTCAAAAAGAAAGGTTTTCAACAAAACTAACTTGCAGAAACATTAAGTACTCTAATAAAAAGCCAGCTAGAAGAAGAACAAGAAGAAAAAGAAACTAAAATATGGAGCATGACTGAAGGTAGAAGTCAGTCGACAGGTATTCAGGAGTTATATTGTCGGACAGGAGATGGTGGAATACATCAAAAGATCATTTTCTCAGCACTGAATATTCCACTATGCATCACAGCATTTCTGGGAAATGTTCTAATTATTGTTGTTCTTCAAAAGGTGTCCTTCCTTCATCCTCCATCAAAGCTATTGCTTGGTTGCCTCGCGAGCACCGATCTTTGTGTGGGTCTTATTACGCAGCCGCTTTACGTTAGCTTCTTAATGATTCCAGCACACTCCAGACTTTGTCACTATCTTAATATTGCTTCATTCACCGTAGGTTTACTTCTTTGTGGAGTATCTTTGTTCACACTAACTGCAATAAGTGTGGACAGACTTCTCGCTCTATTATTGAGAATGAGATACAGACAGATGGTAACTCTGAGAAGGGTACGGATCTTGGTTGCCAGTTTATGGATTTCTAGCGTTGCATTGGCAATGACATCATTCTACAACGTCCGTATTAGTACGGGCATCACCGGGGTGATACTGTTATCGTGTGTAGCAACCTCCATTTACTGTTACGTGAAAATCTATTACGCACTTCGCCGTCACCAAGCGCGATTAAGAGAGCGTGTTCATCAAGGGGAACGGAACGGTGGAGAAATTCCTGTGAACATGGCGCAATACAGAAAGACAGTCTGCACTGCACTCTGCATGTAAATAACATTACTTGCTTGTTATCTTCCATACGGTATAGTCGCAGCCTTGCGTGCAGTTAAAGGTGAGTCTCTCCATCTCCCTTGGGATGTAGCGTTGACTCTAATTTTCTTAAACTCTACTCTGAACCCGATTCTCTACTGTTGGAGGATTCGACAGATACGTGAAGCGGTGAAGAACACGATCAAACAGCTGTGCTGCTTCTCGAGTTAAAATTCTTGCTCCTGACGTCAAAGAGAGGAATTAGGTTTTTATCTAACAATTATTCCACGAGCGTGCGTTGAATATCAAATGATGAATAGCCAACGAGGCACGTAACGCCGAGTTGGCTATAATCATCTCATATCTGACAAGCGCGAGTGCAATAATTGTTTCATTTAAACGCCCCGAAAATGTAGAAAATTAAACCAAACTAAAAATAAAAACACCCCCAAAAAACACGCGTATGCTTACCATATTTGTAGAGCATGGTATAATCGCTCATAACCCATGATGGCTAAGCCAATGAAAACTCTTGAATTGCATTATCCAATGATCCAGTTTTTAATAATCTACGTTATATTTCTT